CTGTTAATTTAGCTTTTCTTTTTGCTTTGTTTTCTTTGTCCCACTTGTGCCTTCACAGGTTTGTTGTTTGAGTGTGTGCAGGTAGTGCATGACCCGTAGCCAGTCGGGAGGTTTACTGCCGTTGAATCCAGAGATTGACCGCACCTGTCGCCAGCTCAGGAGACAACAGCGAGCTAGACTGGCTACGGAAGAGCGCATAGACGGCCACCTGAGCAGCGATTCTGAAGAAGAGCACGAGATGGACGGAGACTACAACCAACACCAGGGGAATCCACAGCAGGTTCCCCCGGTGAATCAGGTCCTGGGGAACAACCCCATACCCCAGGACCATGGAGTTCATCATCCCCCGCAGCCGGGCCCCACCTTGGAGTACTACTACACTCCGCGGATTGCTGACATCCGCCCGGTCATCCTCTACCCGCCTATCCCAGCAAACAACTTCGAGATCAAGCCATGCTGGATTCAGCTCATTACATCTTCCATCCATTTCCATGGCTTGAAGAATTAGGAGGCCAGGGTGCATCTTTCCCGTTTTCTGCAGCTGACGAACAGGTTCAAGGTGAATGGAGTCCCCGATGATGCGATCCGCCTTCATCTCTTTCCCCATTCTCTGGCGGGGAATGCTAAGAGGTGGTTGGAGACCCAGCCTCCATTGTCCATCACCTTTTGGGACGATCTGGCTGACAAATTTGTGCACAGGTATTATCCGGCATCGAAGACTACAGAGATTCAGCGGGAGATCACTCACTTCCGCCAGGAGCCAGATGAGTCCCTTCGTGATGCTTGGGAGCGGTACATGGGCTATTTCTGGCAGTGCCCCCATCATGGCTTCAGTGATGCATTCACAGTGGGGAACTTCTACAGTGCCCTTTCGCCAGATAGCCAGAGGGTGATTGAGTCTCTATGCCCAGGAGGAGATATTCTCACTAAGACTCCACCCGAGCTGAACCAGATGATCAGTACTTTGGCTGCCAGAGATCATTCTTGGGGACAGGGTAGCCGAGGCAGACAGTCCCGGGACCGTGGTGCGCACGCCATGGAGACCAGATCCGGGCTCGAGCAGCAGGTAGCTGAGCTAGTGCAGACATTGAAGCAGCCCAACAGTCTTATTCCGGGCAGAGGTTTGGCTACACCTCCAGTAGCTCAATGTCAGTGGTGTGAGAGCTCCAATCACCTAGTGGAGGACTGCCAGGCTATGAGGGAGTCTACCACACCCCAGGAGCAGTTGGCCTTCATTGCCAATGCGAGGCGCCTCGATCCATACAGTAGCACATATAATGAGGGGTGGCGCCAGCATCCCAACTTCGCCTGGAGCAGCAACACCACTAAACCACCTGGTTTCCCAGCACCAGCAGGTGGTTTTCAGCAGAGGCAGCCCTTCCAGGCTCGCCAGGGGCCAGACCCACAGCAGCAGCCCTACCAGCCTAGGCAGGGCCAGCCATTCCAGCAGCCCCAGCGCCAGTTTGCCGAGCCAGCAGCAGCTCCGGCCCTAGATGACAGGATGACGAAGCTGGAAAACATTCTAGCTTCATTCATGACTAGCACCCAGGCTGCTATCACATCACTGGAGGCAGGTCAGCGGAACCAGGGTGCCATTTTGCAGGATCTGCAGACCCAGGTGGGCATCTTGGCCCGGCAAAACACTACCAGGGCACCGGGGACTCTGCCTGCCACCACTGTTCCTAATCCTCGAGATCCTCACCAGCATCAGCAGCTGGATGCCATTTTTACCAGGAGCGGTAAGACCATATCTGCTGATCCTGTCCCGGCCAGACAGGAGGAACCACTGCCTGCTCCAGCACTTCCAGCCGACGATGCAGAAGTGCGGGCGGAGAAGGAAGCCCCTGCTCCCAAGCCACAACTAGTGGTTAAGGAGCATGTACCCCAGCTTCCCTTCCCCACTCGCCTACACAAGGACAAGCTGGAGACTGAGTTTGCCAAGTTCATGGCAATGTTGAAGCAGCTCAACATCAGCATACCGTTCATGGAGGCACTGTCGAAAATGCCCAAGTATGCCAAGTTCATGAAACATATCTGCACCAACAAGAAGAAACTTGGGGATCTTTCGACAGTGATGCTCAGTGAGGAGTGTTCTGCTATCCTGCAGAACAAGCTGCCCGAGAAGCGCAAGGATCCAGGGAGTTTTACTATCCCTCTTACTATTGGCAGCATGCATGTAGGAAAGACCTTGGCGGACCTAGGCGCGAGCATTAACGTCATGCCATATAAGTTGTATAAAATGCTAGACCTAGGTGAACTTAGCCCTACTAGGATGAGCATTCAATTAGCTGATCGTTCTATCGTGCATCCTAAGGGTATTATTGAGGATCTGCTTGTTAAAGTAGGTACATTCACATATCCTGTTGATTTTGTTATTCTTGATGTGCATGAGGATGTGGATGTGCCTTTGATTCTAGGTAGGCCATTTCTTGCCACCGCCAAGGCACTTATTGATGTGCATGATGGTAAACTGATCTTGCGTGCTGGGAATGAACAGGCTACTTTTTCTGTGACTGAGTTTGATCACTGTGCTATGATTGCTATCACGCCTGTGCATGCTATGTCTGATCAGGTACACGAGCCTGTCGTGTACCCTTCTGCACCTCCTATTTTGCAGGAACCTCCTATCATTCCTTCGCCGCCACTCCATCCAGCCTCGCCTCCGAACAAAAAGCTCAAGGAGGAGTGGCGGCCGAAGCAGCAGGTTGCTAAGCCTGCACGGAAGAAGAGTGGAGACCACTATGAGCTGGTCCCACCTCCTGCACCACGACCACCCTGGCCGTCTGGGTACTCACTCGCCTGCATCCTGCCAGATGGGCAGGTCGAGCTGACTGATGAGGGTGGTCGCATCCGTCGGGTGCATGGCCACAACCTCAAGCTGTACCTCAAGAGCGACGTGGATCCGCTCTTGGAGGCACCTGTTCCTGCACCGCCCTGAGTATCCACCATGGGCGTCCAGCTAAACGACGGTAAAGAAGCGCTTTTGGGGAGGCAACCCCACCTCGGTTTGATTTTCTTTCTTGTGTTGTGAGTCGGATTGTAACCCGGTTTGGGTTTGGTTTGTTTTCTTTTGGTTTGGATGATATTTTATTGGGCTGACCATTGAACCTAACATATTGTGTTTTAGCTCTTCTGTTCCCCTTTGGCTGTGCTTGCCCCGACTGGCCCGTTCCAGTCCACTGCAGTCAGTGCCTACCGGTAACATCGTTCCCCTTATCCTTCCCTCTTCTCCATTGAGGGCAATGTCGAGCTTAAGTGTGGGGTGGTGTTTATCTTTTGACTGCATTAGATCTGTTTGTGTGCTTGGAGCCTAGTCCACTGTCCAAATTTTTAAATTTGAGGGCTCCAAGTACGTGTTCCTTGTAATTGCCTGCTCAGTATGCTTTGAATTGACAATCTTTATAGTAATATGCAACCTAGGGAGGTAGTGTAGCACTATGGAGGATGTTGATGCATTTAAGAAGTCTCATTTCTTCTTCATATTGTGTTGGTTGATTGAGTGAATTAGTGATCTTAGGACCCTTGAATTGTGTGGTGTTGTGGATTCTCTACCTGTCATGGACTCTTGTATCATGTTTTGAGTATAACAGGTGCTCGAAAATGTGCTTCAAAATAAACGTCTCCCGTGCGAATAGGGCGAAAGTGTGTAAGGGGAGACTGGAATTCGTACCCAATTTCCACCTACTACCTCCAGCCCCCTTACATGTCTTTCCCCCGCACGAGGCTCGAGACATCCGCTCCTGGCATGGCCGGTAAGAGCAGGTTGGGACCCTTGAAAAGAAAAAAAAAGAAAAGAAAAATAACAGAAAACAAGCAAAACAGAAAAAAAGGGGTTCCAACCATCTTCAAAGAAAATCGAGCACCTTGAAAAATGTGAGTCCATGATCCTTTGTTTTTGAGAATCTCTCCATCCACAATTCATTTGTCCTCTGTTCACTATTTTCCATGATGCCGACTCGATAAGAAGCTTTGAGATGACTTGTGCGTCGGTTGACCTCGTAAGCTGCTAAATGACCTAGGAAGTCCTCTACTTACGATCTGGGTTGTTTGTTGCTATGAAGGTCTGGAGAGTTGCATTGGTTTGAGTTTGGTTTGCTTGAGGACAAGCAAACGGTTAAGTGTGGGGGTATTTGATAACGATGTAATTGCACATGTTTGAGCCCCTAGTTCTTATCCGTTTGAGGGGCATAGTCGTGTGTTTTGGCCTATTTTACGCCGGGTTGTGCTATTTTGTCATGTTTCAGGTCCCAGGCGTTAAAGGGAAGGCTAACCGCGAGTTTCGGGGCATTCAGAAGTCATTTCGGTGAGCTGGAGCCAAAACATGGGCAGCCCAAGGAATTACACGGCCGTGTACTGCTGGCCGTGCTTTTTATGCCGAGAGAAAATTTGGTTTGGTCAATTCATTTGCAAACACGGGCACTGAATCACGGCCGTGTTCAGTCAAAGCACGGCCGTGTCCAACGCGAAGCACGGCCGTGTTTCCAACAGCTGCTGGCCGTGTAATTAAGCCTTGGCCGAAACACGGGCAGGCTCAGGCAAAGCACGGCCGTGCCCTCGACCGTGCTTTGGCCACTGATGCTTTTAAGCAGAGTTTCAGCCACAATTCAAGGGGATTCGAGTTTTTGAGAGAGAGATCAGTTCCTAGAGAGAGAAAGTGACGAGCAAGAGTTCCCAAGTGCCCTAGATTGATCTTCAACACCATTGGAGGCCAGCTTGAGCTTGGAGAAGTGCCAATCAACGTCCAGAAGCAGGAATCCATCCTTCGCAGTATGAATTCCGTGTCTGATTCTGCTTTTGCTTTCTTCTCTATGGAGTAGTTCTCCCATTCATCTGGGTATGGAGAACCCTAGATTTGTATGTTAGGCTTTGATTGTATGAACCCAAGTACTGATTCTATGATTTGATTATATGCGATTGAGGTTTGAATGATTGAATGACTTGAATCCTGATCAAATTCCTGTTGTTTCTGCTTTAACCTAGAATGAGAATATCTGCCTAGGTTAATAGAGTATCCTTGATTGAAGGTAGGGAGTTGGTGACTTTAGTCGAGGAGCCAACTCACTATTCTATACCGGATTTACTCCGGTAGTGGAGGTTTTGTTCTTAGGGCCTCAATCTGTCGACTCCGGTGGAGGTTAGTCGCCCGCTAGAGAGTCAGATTGAGAGGGTCTGAAGACCTTTAGTCGAGAATTCAGGCTGTTTAAGAACCTTCCGCAGTATAACTGTCATAGAAACTGAACTTGGTAATTACAATCCGGCTTAACTGCATTCTAGGGGGAACCATATCCGGGTGACCTCTTTAACCTGAATACAACCAGTTTACTTGCTTTGTTTGTTTGGTAGTTTAGACTTGCACTCCAGTTTTATTGCTAGATAACAAGAACTCACTGAGTAGTCAGCAAATCTAGGACCCGGGTTGATAATTAAACCTAAACCCGCTATACTACGCTTTAGGAAGTGGTTACACTTGGCCAATTCCTGGAGTGACAGTAGAGTCGAGTCATCTCCCAAGCATCCCAGATGGTCTCATCTTCATCCTGAGCAAAGTGGGTAATTTGCTTCTGCAGGGCCACCGTCTTGGACGGGGGATGGTAGCGAGTGAGAAACTTGTCCGCCAGATTGGCGAACGTGGTGATAGAGCCTGGAGGTCGAGTGTCTAGCCACTCCTTGGCCTGCCTCTCCAGAGTAAATGGGAAGTACCTCAGCTGGATGGCATCGGTTGGGACCCCATTTATCTTGATTCCATCGATGAGCTCGTGGAATCTCCTCAGATATGATCGGGGACACTCCCCCTCTTTGCCACGGAACACCACCGAACCGCGAAGCATGGTGATGACAGAGGTGCTCACCTCAAAATTATTCGCCGGCACATGAGGGTGTTGAATGGGCAACCTCATGTCCGCGGCCCTGGCGGTCCAGTAGTATCCCATGGTCTGCTCCTCGGGAAGGACCACATCATGGTCCTGTGGATCACTCATCTCTTCTTCGTCGGCGATTTACAGCTGTGTTAGCGCCTCCTCCGCAGCCAGTCACGCCTTTAGAGCCTGATTGAAGTTCCTGCAAGTTCGTTCAAGCTCCTGGTATAATGGTAGTAGATCTCCCGACTGGCTATAAGTCATGCACTACCTGCACACAATCAGCAGAAGCGCCAAAAACTTAAAAAGTCCCCGGCAACGGCGCCAAAAACTTGACACGATACGACACAACAACAAACTGCGACCAAGTGTAATCGCAGTCCAGGAATGCAGTAAAGTGGCAAGTTCTAATTATCAACCCGGCGTCTAGATCTACTGCCTACTCTGTGAATATCTATTATCTAGCAAACTAAGTTGATTGATTGTTGTTTTAACTAAAAGCAGTAAGAAAGCAGGAAATGATTCGGCTTTCTAAAGCAAAGGAAGAGTCACTCGGGAATGAGTCCCCCTAGCTCCTTAGTTATGTCTCAGTTGTAATTACCCTGGGTTGATTTACTGTTGATTAAACTGCGGAAGATCCGACAGTAGCTTGGAATCTCTTAAGCTGACCAAGCCCTCTCAGTCTAACTACCCGGCAGACGACTAGTCTTCACCGGGATTGAAAGCAGAAGCAATAAGCACAAAACTCCACTACTGGAATTGGATTCCAGTACAAAGCAGTAGACTGACTAACTCTCGTATAGCCAATCTACAACTACCGAACGATGAAGCTTTAAAAACCTAATAAGATTCTATCTATCTCAGGTTGCAGCATAAATCAAGAAAAGCTTATCAGACTTCAATCAATTCAATTAATCATGCATCATTCGATTAAAAAACAGTATAACAATCCCAAGTCATTACAATCATGATCCTAACACATGGAACTAGGGTTCTTCATACCCAAGTGAGAGAAGGGTCTACTCCATAGAGAGAGATAGAAAAACATAATACAAAGTAGTCATACTCATAACAATGGGAAGAATCTGCTCTGGGATGATGATTTTCACTCCTATGATGATCTCGAAGCTCGATTTGATGAAACCCAGCTCCAAGATCGCTTCTAGGATGTGTTCTTCGCACTTTCTCTCTCTAGGGCTCTGTTTTTGCTTTGAAAAGTCGATCCCCTCACTTGTGGCTCGAAATTGGGTTAAAACCCAGAATTCCCGACTCACACGGGCAGGCCACACGGCCGTGTGGCTTACCCAGCTGCCCGTGTGAGTGTCAAAACGCGGTGTTTTGATTAAGTGGTCTTCAGGCTACCTACACGGCCAGGGACACACGGCCGTGTGGAATCTCCAGTATGCCCGTGTGAAGCCTCGGCAAATCCCACACGGCCACATGGGTTCTTTACACGGCCGTGTGGGTTTTAGGAGTGCCCGTGTGGCTTCCTCAGCATCTCGCCACACGTCAGATCTTCGTCCAACGACCCCAAACTCGCTCCCAAACCTTCATTCACGTACTAGGACCTGAAATATCACAAACAAGAACAACCTAGCGTGAAATCGGCCTAAAACACGAGAATCAACATCTCAAACGGTGTAAGATTAGGAGTAAAAACATGTGCAATTAACGGTCTATCAAGCACATAAGTCAAAATAATAGTATGCTCTCGAAAGAGAAGGTAAATTAAAAAATATAAGTCGCACAACGATAATAGCAAGAGCTTAAACATCGCAAGTAGATTAACTAATATAACAGTATTTGTGATAGTGACAGAACTGGAAAGAAAGGCACCAAATACGAAGTGAAATTTCATTATGAAAATAGTAGTCGGGTTATTTAGCTAACCTCGTAGGATTCTTGTTTGAGAATTCCCCCTTACTGCTTCTACAACTTCCAGCACTCTCTCAAATGGGCAAAAAAGAAAAAAGACTATCTCTAAAAAATCAACAGCAGTTTATTCTGTTTCTCTAGCGGTTCTCTCCCAAAAATCCCCCTCACCCCCAATCCCCGTCCCCCCAAACAAGGAGCCAAAGAGCTCATTTATAGCAAAAAGAATGTGCCAAGTGTCACTTGATCATTGGTCTCTATTAGGACTTGGAATGTGGTGCGTTATTCTGATCGCGATCCACGAGTCACGACCACAATCTTCCTCGCGGTCATTTTACACTCTGGCCGTGATCCAACAGAGGTAAGTCGAATTTTGAGGCTGCCCCATGAGCCTCCACCTTGCTTGGTCGGTTCTGACTAGGCAAGGCCTGTTCAGGATAGGGTTGGCACACAATTTTATGCTAAGGTGGCTGAGCTGTGTGCCTGGTATGGTGGGCCGACTTTATCTTCATCTGGGCTTGAAGTGGGCTTGGATGGACTTCAGTTTGGGCCGAACTTTGGGTTTGATCTGTCTTTGAACTGTGGGCCAAACTTAGTTGATTTTCTTTGCTTTTATACGTTGCTTTTGCTGGTCTGGGCTCCCTTGTGATTTGCCAAGCTTGGATTCTTGATAAAAGAATAGGAGTAGATTGTTGTCTTTTTCCTTTCAACTTGTGTTTGAAGATGATAATTGTACAAAACAAAATTTCTTGTAGTCATATTTGATAATTGTGGCGATCTTCTGAGTTGTCGTTGATATTATTCTCGACTTAATTATCGAACATTGATTAAATTTTCTAACACATATCTCAAACCATGAACCATGTTGCTTCTCGATTTGGTCCCATGAAACAAGTTTACTGTGCCACACTTCTCCATTGCAAATGTAGTTTGATGTCCTCATAATAGGTTCCAGATCGGACAAAATGTGGTGTCTACCGTCTCAATTTTGCATTTTAATGAACTGGTGTAAGTGAACTGGTTCCTAATGTTGTGTCATCTACCCTCTGCAAATCCTTTTCTAATTCATCTCACGCTGTGCTTCCATCTTGACCAACTACCTATAAAGGGAAGGTCAGTTTCTTTATGCACATGTTGAATGAGTAGAAATCGGATTAAGCTGAAGGATAGGTTTTGTGATGAATATCAAAAGGGGGTTTCTGAGTTCATGGGGGCTGCCAGCAAACATGTTGATATGCTAGGTAGAACTAGATGCCCTTGTAAAATGTGCAATAATCGAAACTTTAAGAAATTAGAGATTGTCGCAGATGATATAACAAGGAATGGTATGGTGGAGACATATACTATATGGATCCATCATGGTGAGTCTTTTGACTTCGCGAGTACTAGTCCGTGATGCCAATTTGCCATTATACCCTGTGTGTGGAAACTTTTCCAGATTATCATTCATTATGAAGTTGTTGAATAATAAAATGGTAACCAATAGTACCGACAAAGCCTTCAACCTGAATCTGGACCTAGTCAAGAAAGCATTACCTGTTGGTGAGACGTTTCCTTCTTCCTTCTAAGAAGTTAAGCGGTACATGGGAGATCTTGGGTTCGATTACACCACTATAGATGCCTGCCCAAATCATGGTGTACTCGATAGAGGTCCTCTAGAATCTGCCAAGTCATGCCCAAAATGCAATGAGCCTAGATACATACATGGGAAACAAAATAATGTAGCCCAAAAGAAAGCTAGGTATTTTCCACAAAAAGATAGGCTTCAAAGATTATTCATGACTAAGGACTAAAAACATGAGGTGGCACAAGGAATTGCGTGTCGATATTGATACGCTAAGGCATCCGGCTGATGCAAAAACTTGGAAACGGTTCGATGAGGATCATAATTGGTTCGCAGCAGACTCTAAGAATGTTAGGCTTGCTCTTCTGAGTGATGGGTTCATGCGACCAAATCGCCTGGTAATAACATACATGTGTACTTAGAGCCCCTAATAGAAATGTTGAGAGTTATGGGAGGATGGGGTCTGTACGTATGACACACACTCAAACAAAATATTTCGTTTACATGTTGCGTTGTTATGGATAATAAACGATTTCCCAGCATATGGCATGCTATCGGGCTAGAGTACAAAGGGGAGATTAGCCTGTACTGTCTATAATAGTGGGATATGCTACAAACGTTTATATTTTAGTCATAAAGAGTGTTATATGGGGCATCAAAGATGGCTTCCAAGTGACCATAGGTGGAGAAAAAGCCAGAAATTTGATGGGAAGCATAAACTTAGAGGCAAACCAAGAGTGTTATTTGGTGATGAACTTTTGAAGCAAATTAAGAAGGCTTTTCAATCTGATGTGGTAGTCAATGATGGTGGGAAAAGGAAAAGGGGTTGTTCTGATGATAATGTGAATAACTGGAAAATAAAAGCTTCATTTTTAGTTTGCCATATTGGAAAACTATAGAGTTAAGGCATAACTTAGATGTAATGCATGTTGAAAAAACATTAGTGAGAATGTGATAGGGCTGCTAAATATCGAGGGAAAGACCAAAGATAAAGCCAATGCTAGACGTGATTTGGAAGACATGCGTATTAGGAAAGAGCTGCATCTGGTGAGAGACGGTGATAAGTATAAAAATGCCTCCCGCTTTATACACCTTAAAAATGCACAACGAAGGCCTTTTTGTGACTGGTTGAGGTTGATAAAGTTCCCAGATGCTTATGCATCTAATATATCCCGGTGTGTAACTACTGATGGTAGGTCAATCACTAGCATGAAAAGCCATGATCACCATGTCTTCATCCAACGCCTCTGCCTGTTGTCGCACAAGGGTTTCTGAGCAAAGAAGTCTATAATATATTGTCTCAACTTAGTGAATTCTTTCGTGAGTTGTGTTCAAGAACGATAACCACGTCCACTGTCAGAAAACTCGGGGATAACATTCCAGTTATACTTTGCAACCTGGAAATGTTCTACCCACCAGCTTTCTTCGTCGTGATGATGCATCTGCCTATTCACCTTCCCTACGAAATTGAGCTTGGGGTACCAGTGCAGTACCGCTGGATGTACCCAATGGAGAGGTACACACCGAGTCGCACCCATTAATTTTTTACATTGCGGATCATTTTTATAACGTAGCTAACTTTTGTATTTTGATTTTTTTTTTGTGATTTTAACTAGGTTCTTAGGAACTCTTAAATCATATGTTCTTAATAAGGCTCGTGCCGAGGGATCCACTGTCGAAAGGTATATAACGGAAAAAAACAATTCAAATTTTTGTTCTAGATATCTTAAAGGTGTTGAGACCCGACCAAGTAGGCTAGACATGAATGATGATGGGTTGGACGATGTAAATTATATTAGGTTTGATGTTTTCCGTCGCCAAGGTAGATCTATAGGAGCTGCTAACTATGAGCATATAGGTCAGGCTGAGTTCCATAAGATCCAATGGTATGTCTTCACCAATTGTGATGAAATTGAAGCACAATTGAAGTAAGTTCTTTCTACTTTTTTGTTTCCAAACCCCGGTTAGTTTTTTTTTTTGTGTTTAACAATTGCCATTACAGTATGCATACGGAGGAGAGATTTCTTAATCATCCAATCAGTACCCCAGCAACCATAGCAGCTCACTTCCCATCTTGGTTTAAAACTTTTGTAAGCCCAAAATTTTCCATTTTTTCTCTTTTCTTACTCACATAATCTTTTCTTAAATTTTTGGCCCCTTGTGTTAGGTTTTAAGTCTCCAAATTTTTTTTGGTTGGCACGCTTAAAGAGACTGACCATTTATATGTCCTAGGATTAGGGGCTGATGAAAGGATTACTAGATATCATGGAATCATCATTAACGGGGTTCAATACCAAATAAATATGACTGATGAAGGTCATCAAACTCAGAATAGTGGTGTCGTTGTTAGAGTTGACCACAATGGCGAGACTATAGATTATTACGGGGTTCTGGTCGACATAATTAAGATGAAATATTGTGGAGCGCATCGGGTCTTTATATTCAAGTGCGAGTGGTTCAATGTGGGGGATAAGAAGAATGTAATAAGGACAGATAGACACTTGACAAGAATAAACATGGATAGAAAATGGGGTACGGAGGATCCATATGTATTGACAATCAGGCTAACCAAGTGTTTTACATTGTCGATATTAAGAATGGTGGTGCATATGGCATATTGTCCACAAGGTATGTCCAAAAAGTTTGTACGATGTTCCCGAGAAGGAGGCAGCGAGACATGGGGATCCATTGTATCAAAATCAGCCATACCAATAGGATGTGGACCTTTCGAACTTTCATGTTAGTGAAAGTGAATTACCGGATCTGAGTCGTGATGACTAGGCGCCAACAATCGTTTTTGAGATAGTGATACGAGCAATTGATAGACGATTTGCAGCAGTGGAAGCAAGCGATGATGAGAGACGACGACACGTTGGATGACCATCATTTCAACACTAATGATACTGAACATCAAGATGGGTTCGATCCATCATTCCGTGACCAGGAAGAAGCCAACAGTAGATTATAGATATAATCATTTTCACACATTAGCAAATTATTGGTTGCGGGCTTTATATGTTTGCAGATGTTTTGGGTAAATAGATTTGTACAAATTTTTGGGGGCCTTACTTTCATTTTTACATATTTTTGGGTAAATTAGGTGAAGACTATTGAATTCATCTTAATGTTTGATCGATGTGAATGGAGTATGATAATGGGGTTAATGTTTTCGTATCTATGGTACTAATATGAACCCAGCCGAAACATAAACCCAGATTGTGTCTTGGAAATGTAATTTGATGCTGGATTGGGTTTCTAGTGCAGTTTGGTAGTGTTTGTGTAGGAAGGAGACTGGGTTTCGTTAGATGATTCATTAACTGTGTGTGTTCTGAGCCCACATGATTTAAAGGATCAAAGCCCACACATGATTTAAGTCCCGCATGGGCCCGTTTTAAAACAGGTAAGCAGAAATAAGGACTTCATTCCTTCGTATCTGTCAAAGGCAAACCCTAATTTCCTCTTCTTTGAACCTTTCTCTGTAGCTACCTCTCCTATGGTGATTTCTATCTGATTCTTCCCAGTAATTCCAATCATTCACAACTCCAATCTACTCAACGCTCTAGTTTGGGGACCCGTTTCACAGGTAGGCACTACTTTCCGAATCGCCATTCATGTTCTTCGAGCTCTGCGTTTCCTACCCTAGATTCTCGATTCCATTCTAGTTTATGTCCCTGCTATGCTATGTTTATGTCTATGCCCTTGATTCTCTGATTTCTACTTCGTTTAAGTTTATAGTTTTGTAGATGCTCTATCGATTTGTGCCTCGTGTGAGTAGTTATGCGCTCGGCGTTTGGCTTTGAAGTCTTCGTTGCCCACTTCTTCGTTTTTTGGCGCCTCTGCTAAGCCCATGATTTATTTTCTGCTAATTAAAATTTATACGAAGGATTAGCTTGACAAGGTTAAATGCAAAGAATGATAAATTCCATAGCTTTCCTTTCTGCTCTTAGTCATTTTCCTTTGGTGTTAGCCTTCATTTAAGATCTTGTGTTCTTTTCCTTCGGTTTTACTTTGCTGGTCT